TTCCACCTCTTTCTCCTCCACCTGTGATAATAGTATAGGAGTTGATCTCTAATACTCGCCCTGTTTTGTGATTTATATCTTTTCCCTTAATTTTTAATTTTTGTGCCAAAAGTCTAGTATTAAAAGTGTTATAAAATGTATTCTTAATTCACACCAAAAAATAACTTATTTTATATATTATTGAATAGTCTTTTTTGAATCAAACAAATCGATTGCATTTATTATTAGTTTTTTAAATTTAATTCAATTCTCAATTAAAGATACAATTTATTTGACGCCAAAAAACGATTTCATTCATAGGAAACGCAAAATAATTGTGAGAAAAAAAGTTCAGCAAAAATATATATTTAGGTATAAAAAATTTAAATCAATAGTAATTAAATTAAATGAACGTTTAAATTAAAGACAAATAATTAAGAATTCGTTGCGAAGTATATCTAATTTTCATATGAATATTGACACAAAAAAGTAAATGATTTTTATAATTAAAACTAAAATGTAATGAATATTGATATCGAAGACTCGATTGTATAATAGCTTTGAAATAATTATTATCGTAAAGAGAACTTAAATGAAGAAAATATATAATTATTTGTTTAAATTAATCGTAGGATTCACTCGAAAGCGCTCACAATAATAGCCATCACTGCTATTGTCCGCCGAATCACCGCCACTACTGTTCCTCTTCGGGCGGAAGATCTTCTTCGATGATCTCATCGGTGGCTGCAATCACCTCCTCTTCGTCGGCATCGGGATTGTCGACAATCTCGTCGTACGTCTCCATGGAGTGAGTGGTGAGCATATGTCGGCGCAAATGGTGTCCGCGTGTGAACGCCTTCTCGCAACCGATCACTTCGCACACAAAGCGCTTCTCACCCGTATGTGTGACCCTATGGTTGGCGACATCGCACGAGCGCACCGACCGGTAGTTACAGTTGGGCCAATCGCACGCAAACGGCTTCTCCTCCGTGTGCACCAGTTTATGGCGCCGGAGGTGTGAGTTCTGTGTATAACTACGCGTACAGCCTATGCGACAAAACAAATGGTCATTCAATTAGTACACACTATAACACTAGCACTAGATATACACTATTGTGGTGTTGAGTACATACCGGGCCAATCGCATATGAAGAACTTTTCGCCCGCGTGCACTCTCTTGTGCTCATCTGGTTTTGTAAATAAAACATATGGTAAATATACAGCCAATACATCCGATTGATTGTCAATAAACTAACCCAGATTGCCCTTAATGGCGAACCTCCACTCACATCCCGGCCAATCGCATACGTATGGCTTCTCGCCGGTGTGTGTCCTCATGTGTACCTTTACGTTATTCTTCTGAGAAAACCTGTCATTTATGAAAACAATTCATTAATTATCAATTGTTTAAACGTGTTTAACACTAAGACACACCTCAACGTACATCCGGGCCATTCGCATGGGTAGGGCTTCTCTCCGGTATGAGTCCTGATATGAGTCTATCGTTCAAATCAATTAATCATTAAAAACATAATTCAATTGCCAATTGAAGAGCACATACTTTAAGAGCTGATCCCTGAACAAAACTGTGGCCACAGTCGGGCCAATTGCATCTGAAATGACACAACAGGTTATAACATTCGACTAAACAAACACATAATAATCGATATGACAAACCGATAGGGCTTTTCTCCCGTATGCGTCCGCTTATGGTCTTTAAGGTGAACCTAAAAGTGACACAAAAAAAAGAGTTAACAAAACACAAGTCAAATGAGAGCAACAAAGCTATGCGTACCGAATGTCGGGCCACGTAATTACAAGAGGGCCAATCGCACGGGTACTTCCGCGTCACTCCCGTCGGCTTTCGGCCCCTTTTCTTCTTGAGAAGGGCGTCGTCTGCGGCCGTAATATTGGACACAACTCTCAGATTGTGAACGGCTTTGCCTTTGCCGGCGTTCGCGCCCTTCCTCTTCACTTTACGCTTCTTCGGCGAGTTCTGCGGCGAGTCTTCGATGTCATTGTTCTCCTCCTCTTCGCCATTGCTCTCATCGGCTGTGGACTCGGTTTTGATGGTTCGCTGACCGCCAGCACCGCCGCCGGCGCCCGAAAAACGCTTCACAATCGACTGGTCCTTATTGTGTCTCAAGAGGTAGTGGTTCTTCACCTTCTCGATGGAGTCGAACCGTCGGTTACAGAACTTACAGCTATAATGCGTGACCACAACAGCCT